CAGTTCAAAATAATCACTATGCCAAAAAGACATATTTTAAGAAGGCATATTATGATCCCCTGCAGTACAATGTTCTTTATTCCTCATGTACGTTTCAAAATTTAGTTCACCATTGTAAAAGAATAATAAGTTCTTTAATATTTGTGAATTTTCTTTAATATATGTTTTTTAATTTATTTCATGAAATTTCCTAATAATTCTTACTATATACAGAAAGGTTATTTTACACACTCTTAAATCTTGATTGACTAACTCTTAAATCTTAATAATTATCCTAATTTTAGAGATAATGTGTGGTGATTTTAAAAAAGAGGATGTTATTTTCTTTTAATTGTATTTTAAAATGTCCTATAATTACGTCTGTAGAGCAAAATAAATGAGTAAATAAACATAGCTATAAAATTTTTGAGTAGAATAATTTTGTTTGGCATATTGCATTTTTTTTAAGTGTGTGCCTTTAGATGGCTATGTACCTTCCTTTAGATTACTTGCAACTACTTAGCTACTCTCAGTTGTAGCACACATTTGTTTGGCCTCTGAAGGCATTTATTTGAATTTGTGACCCTTGCTATAAAATTATAAGAGTCATTTATTTAATTTCTTATACTATCTTGATTAGAAAAGTCTTAGGTGTGTGAAAATAAAAGAAGAAATAATAAAGTTATTATAATATTGTTCATGTTATTGTAATTCTTTTATGTAAATGTCTATTTGAAAAGTACCCCTTTTAGATGAATATGTTAATTGATAAGCCTTTTCTATTTTAGTGGAACAACATATACAATAGAAATTGCAGTAAAGTATTGAAATTATAAATATTTGCAGGTGATTACCTATGAAACCTAAAAGTTAACTGATAAACCAACTTACAATACTCTACTAATGTTTGTCAGAATTCTGTTGCTTCTTTAAAGTTGTAAATTATGTCATTTTTCTGATATTGGATCATTAATCCAACCAGTATAGAAACTATGTAAATATCTTTTGAACTTATACCATGAGTTATATAAGAAAAAAAAACACATAAAGCATAACTGATATATAAAAAGACATAAATAGCATATTTATACTGGAAGTACATTTTTAATACCATTAAACAGGCAAATGAAAACTTGTAAATAAATACACATTAATAGCCTGGAGGTCACTTATTAATTAGAAAATATAATGGAAATGATTCCATTAATAAGAAAAGCAGAAACATAGAATGCCTAGGAATGAGTTTTAAAAGAAACATGAAACTTTTATAAAGAAATGCCATAAAATTCCACAATTACCATACTTTCTGGGATAGTAGACTCAAGCTGTGTCCTATGGACATTTGTTAGTATAGAATAAAGAGTTTTCAAAGGTGAGCTTCCTGAAGCAAAATGCAAAGTCCAGGGTCCCCCAAAGTGGGATCTCTAGTAAACTACTTTCCATTTTAAACAGACACATTGGACGAAAATGGTGTAGTCATATGTATTACAGTCCTCCCATGAATTTTCATCTGAACTTTACATTTTTGTTTGTTTGTTTGTTTGTTTGTTTTCTACCAAGGGCATGTGCATGCAAGGTAAGCACTCTGCCACTGAGCCACATCCTCAGCACCTAGCCTTTCTTGTGTCTTGTTAGTAGCCCAGCTAGGATTAAGTGTCAAACTTGTATTAAGATATGTAGATTGATAATGTCCTCAGCTCTCTAGACAAAACAAACAACATACTCTCTAAGAGAAGGTATCCTTATCTTAGGCCTAAAATGAATTATATAACTTTTTTACATATAGTATTCATCTTATAAAAAGGTATATACACATACACACGACAGTAAGAACAACAGAACCCACAAACAGCAAAAAAAGGTCTTAAGATACTGGAATTATCAAACAGAAAGAAACATATACTTATTACTATGTTGAAAAAATAAAAGCAAAGATAGTAAGTAATGGTTGGAAATAATAAAAAGTAACAAGACAGATTTGAAAAAGAACTAAATAGAAATTTTAGAATCAGAAAATAAAATTACCTAAAATGAATGTGCAAGTAGTATATTAGACAAAGCTGAAGTGAACATTAGTGAACTGGAATATATAGTTCAGAAGAAGCTATGCAAGAAGGAGCATGGAAGAGGAAAAATTTTTGGAAAATACTAAACAGGAGAAAAGGGTGAGACTCAAAAAGGATACAGTAATAAGATTTCATCTGTGTTTGGAGTCCCAGGAATAAAGGGGTGAAATAAAGGCCAAAGTCAATACTTGAAAGGTAGATAAATAGACCAATAGAACAGAAGAGTCCAAAGACAGATCTGTGAATACTTGGTTTATAACAAAGATGGCATTGTAGAGTAATGTGGAGTGTCTGATATTTTCAGTAATTGGTGCTTAAGCAATGGGGTGTTCACAGAGAAAAAAATTGAAATTGGATCATTATCATAAAATTCAATTCCATTGGACTATGGGCATTTTTTTGAAAGAAATAGAATGGTACATTGCAATTAAGAACTTATGCTAAGCCTAAAACTATGTTAAAGAATCACACAGGGGGAAAATATTTGCAATGCAACCCACAAAGACTTTTATATCAAAAATATTGAGAACACAACAGAGCTTACTAAATCAATGAGAAAAGGATCAGCCCTATAGAAAGAGTGGGCAAAAGTTTTAACACTTCACCAAAACCTGAATGATCAAAGGGATTTAGCCTCATTAACAATAAGAGAACTTGATATTTGTAGTTTTGTTTACGAAAATGGCAAATTATACACAATGTAAATTCCAAGAATAAGGGAATGCCAGTTAGTCTTTATGGATAATCTAGAATTAATAGACTTACCATATATGAAAAAGTTCACAGAATATCGTACATCATCTTGTTTTGGTAAAAGCTATATATACCTATATATACACATGAATGTATATAAAATCTAGAAATATTTTAAAAGTTTTTTTTTATTGGTTGTTCAAAACATTACAAAGCTCTTGACATATCATATTTCATACATTTGATTCAAGTGGGTTATGAACTCCCATTTTTACCCCGTATACAGATTGCAGAATCACATCGGTTACACATCCACGTATTTACATACTGCCATACTAGTGTCTGTTGTGTTCTGTTGCCTTTCCTATCCTCTACTATCTCCCCTCCCCCTCCCCTCCCATCTTCTCTCTTTACCCCATCTACTGTAATTCATTTCTCTCCCTTGTTTTTATTTCTCTTTCTCCTCACATCCTCTTATATGTAATTTTGTGTAACAATGAGGGTCTCCTTCCATTTCCATGCAGTTTCCCTTCTCTCTCCCTTTCCCTCCCACCTCTCGTTAATCTTTTTCTCATGCTCTTCCTCCCTGCTCTGTTTTTAGTTGCTCTCCTTATATCAAAGAAGACATTTGGCATTTGTTTTTTAGGGATTGGCTAGCTTCACTTAGCATAATCTGCTCTAATGCCATCCATTTCCCTGCAAATTCCATGATTTTGTCATTTTTTAGTGCTGAGTAATACTCCATTGTGTATAAATGCCACATTTTTTTAATCCATTCATCTATTGAAGGGCATCTAAGTTGGTTCCACAGTCTAGCTATTGTGAATTGTGCTGCTATGAACATTGATGTAGCAGTATCCCTATAGTACGCTCTTTTAAGGTCTTCAGGGAATAGTCCGAGAAGGGCAATAGCTGGGTCAAATGGTGGTTCCATTCCCAGCTTTCCCAGGAATCTCCATACTGCTTTCCAAATTGGCCGCACCAATTTTCAGTCCCACCAGCAATGTACAAGTGTACCCTTTTCCCCACATCCTCGCCAGCACTTGTTGTTGTTTGACTTCATAATGGCTCCAATCTTACTGGAGTGAGATGGTATCTTAGGGTGGTTTTGATTTGCATTTCTCTGACTGCTAGAGATGGTGAGCATTTTTTCAGTTTCATTTTGTTGCATATGGTACTTGTTGATTGATTGTATATCCTCCTCTGAGAAGTGTCTGTTCAGGTCCTTGGCCCATTTGTTGATTGGGTTGTTTGTTCTCTTATTGTCTAATTTTTGGACTTCTTTGTATACTCTGGATATTAGGGCTCTATCTGAAGTGTGAGGAGTAAAGATTTGTTCCCAGGATATAGGCTCTCTATTTACCTCTCTTATTGTTTCTCTTGCTGAGAAAAAACTTTTTAGTTTGAGTAAGTCCCATTTGTTGATTCTTGTTATTAACTCTTGTGCTATGGGTGTCCTATTAAGGAATTTGGAGCCTGACCCCACAATATGTAGATCGGAGCCAACTTTTTCTTCTATCAGACGCAGAGTCTCTGATTTGATATCAAGCTCCTTGATCCATTTTGAGTTAACTTTTGTGCATGGTGAGAGAAAGGGATTCAGTTTCATTTTGTTGCATATGGATTTCCAGTTTTCCCAGCACCATTTGTTGAAGATGCTATCCTTCTTCCATTGCATGTTTTTAGCTCCTTTATCGAATATAAGATAGCTGTAATTTTGTGGATTGGTTTCTGTGTCCTCTATTCTGTACCATTGGTCCACCTGCCTGTTTTGGTAGCATTTTTATAATTCTTATGATCTTAAATTTCTTTAAAAATTTTCTGGACTTTTTTCACAGCAAAATGATGAGTCCTTCATAAAGTATCCTTTCTGATAAATTAATGAATACCTTATTTGAAAAATGACATAAGGCATGTGGGTTTAACAAGGAAATATGTTTTGGACTTTTTTTCTTTCATATCAAAGAGGAGTTAGATTTTTGTTCCGTTTTGGGTTGGATTGAAAATGTTATTTCACAGATTTAAAAAAAAAATAAAATGTGCTGTGTTTTGCCACAGCTTCCAGGAAGTTTAGAGATAAATTTAAGCTTCATTGCACTAATTAGATTATCCGTGTATATTTTTTCTCACTTATAATTGTTTTAGATAATTTATTGTTCTTTTTATCCTTCTTGGAAATACAGGTAAAAATGTGAATTAATATGCACAGTTATAAATAAACACATAAATATACTATACATGTATGCTTTGAATTTCTTTTAGCCAACAAATGGAATCTTCTTGAGCATGCTACTAGTCGTCTTGCCATTGGAGTCCATGGCTCATGGGCTCTTCCATGAATTGGGTAACTGTTTAGGAGGAACATCAGTTGGATATGCTATTGTGATTCCTACCAACTTTTGCAGGTACTGTGATTGGAACTACTTGAGCCATAACAATTTCTTAATGTTTAATATAAATATGAATAGAAGATATAGCTCATTTTATAAAGCTATAGTGTTTTCAAAATATAATAACTGTTGCATTTTTTTATTCCTTACTTTTAGAAATTATATTCCAAGTGATAATATAATCTTCATGGGTTCAACTTAAATATTGATAAATATGATTAACTTATATTTTAGCTAGAAATCAGAAAATATGAGTAAGTACATTTTCTAGGGAAGGATTCTTCCCTAATGAGAATATCTTGTTTAAGAAAATGTGTGTGAAACAATATAATAAAATATACTTAATTTGTCATTTGTCCCAGGATTAGATCTGTCTTCAATTAGTGCTCAGGAGTATAAGGCAATGGACCTAAGTTTTAATAACTATTTTAATAAAAACTATTTATTAATAGATCATTTCTTTTATCATTTTTGTACCTTAAATTTGTAAAATTTGAAAGCAACTTTTTAAAGATCTTATATTTTCCAATACAGAAATTAAATATATAATTAAAATATTGCTTGTACATTTGATATGTTAAAATTTTTTCTTAAAAATAAAGTTTTTTTCCCTTATAGTTCCCACGCAGGTGTTCTTGAAACATTTAATATAATCTTGCTTTTAAAAAATCTTGTACATTATTTGTTATTTGGTAAGAAAATAAGAAATAGGAATATGTACATTTGGAGATATACTCCCATTTTTTTGTTTGGTTATTTTATTGATAAAAAGTATAGTTATTTAAAACCACATTTTGATTCTAGGCCTAGTAGCACTATAGAGCTTTGGAAAACTTTAATTTTAAAATCCTGCCATTTAGCAGGAACTATTATGATTGTTAGATAATCAATGATAAATGACAGGTGAGAATGTAATATAGAATAATACTTGTTAAACACCAAAATTATTTTTTTCTCCTTCAGTCCTGATGGTCAGCCCACATTGCTTCCACCAGAACATGTACAAGAATTAAATTTGAGGTCTACTGGTATGCTCAACGCTATCCAAAGATTTTTTGCATATCATATGATTGAAACTTATGGATGTGACTATTCCACAAGTGGACTGTCTTTTGATACTCTACATTCCAAACTGAAAGCTTTCCTTGAACTTCGGACTGTGGATGGACCTAGACATGATACTTATGTTTTGTATTATAGTGGGCACACCCATGGGTCCGGAGAATGGGCTCTAGCAGGTAAATTCTCCTTTGGCAATTTTGCCATTGTGAAAAACACATATATTTATCAAAATCTGTTCTTTACACAGAGATATTAAATTTTCTGTTTTCCGTATCACAGCTTACCAAGAATACATATGATTATCTTTTCTCTAGCATATGGATTTAATGAAATTTTAAGTAATCTATAACAGTAAGGGTTTGAGAATTATGTATTCTAGTAATTGGAAGAAAAAAAATCTGCTTGATTTGAGATATATGATCAGTCTCCCCTAATAGTATTTCAGAATTATAAAATATAGTAACATTTTTCAGCAGCTAATAAGGTTCTCTGATAGTTCTAAGTCTTAAAATGTTCTACATCTAGAATTAAGTAGATCTTCAAATGTATAGTTTTACTTATATTAGAAAGTTTTCCAAAATTTTAAACAGGCATTATAAAATGGTAAGAGTAGTGCCAGTTCAGGAGACCTGTCCTAATTGTCCCAACTGTATAATTTTATTTTATTCTTAAACTTTATTAGTTCTTCTTAGTTATACATGACAGAATCCATTTTGATAAAATTATACAAGCATGGGGATATATCTTATTCTAATTAGGACCCCATTTTTGTGGGTCGGCATGATGGTGGGATTCACTTATGCATACATAGAAAAATTATGTTATATTTATTCTACTGTCTTTTCTATTATTTTAGCAGGGTGCTTCTGTTAGTTTCAATTATTTCATCTGTAAAATGAGAGGGTAGTATTGAATGATCATTGAGTTCCATTATAAGGATAAAATTTTGTTATTTTGAATTTTGTTAGTCTTCTCAACTATGATAGAGACCCTATAAGTCAAGAGCTTTATTCTATGAAATATTAAATGCTTAGAACCTAGAACGGCACCTGGAACATAGTAGGGGACCCTTAAATAATTGATAGGTCGATGAAATCATTGAATGAATTAAGAAACATGAAAAGGGAAGGGATTTTTCCTATTTTAGATTAGAAATAGTTCATAATTGTATCTTGCCCTTTTTTCCATAAAAGATTTTGGATGTTTTAAAACCAGAATACATAATAAAAATAAAATAGTCATAAAATATAAGGGGGTACATTTTTATGTCAAAGAAAAATAAGTAGTATAGAAAAGACAGAGGAAGACCTACCAATATAAAAACTCCAGAAGGTAAAAAAAAGAACCTCAACATTATAGTAGAAATGATTTTAAGTCAGCATTATCCCACTGATTTCATGCCAGGTTGGTAACTGGGGTTTTATCATAAAGAAATTTTTTCAAAATTTTTCTTTTTTGCAATTAAATATTGAACAACTCAATAGCTATCTAGGATTAATGGCAAACTGACAGTAGAGACATTTTTAAGTATAAGCCACGGTGTTTAGTACTTTGCAAACAGATTTAATCTCTATGAAATCCCTTGAGGTAGATGTCATATCACCTCTATATTTTCATTTTTCAAATGATAAAACAGAAGCTGAAAGTCACTGTGTAATTTATAGTCATACAACCAAGTGAAGGAAACATGATTCAAGCACAGGTCTGTCTGACCCCTGACATGTGTTTTCCCCCACTGTTCTGTGTTGCTGCCAAAGACAAACACTGTGATGATAAAGAAATGGCATGTTGAGGTTAAGTACATACTTTTGTTAGCATGGATCACTCATTTTCAGAAATGTAGAATATGCAAGAAGGTATTTAACACTAAAACTACTGAACATGGCTTATAAACTCATTTATTTATCCTGTAACTTTTTAATTACAATGTAGAAAATAACTTTTTTAACCTTTATGGCTACTTCAGTTTCAGATAAAGTATATCATTCTTAAAGAAAGAAAGTTTAATCAATTAAAAAATCTTTACAGAAGTAAAATTTCAGACCTAAAAGTTGGGACTGATTATTGACAATTTACTACAAGCCTTATAATAAACTCTTCCCAGATCAAAAGAAAAAATAAAAAGGCATGATTTTGGTGTATACATATATTCCTAATTATTTTAAAATATCAGAAAAAAGTAATTTTAAAAATAGCTTTGTGTGTGTTTATATGAGGATTTCTTACCTAATTTAAGCATTTTTTTAAAGTTTGCCTTTTTCTTTTTAAAATTTTAAAATTTATTTCAAGCATTTGTTTTTGGTACTGGGTATTAAACACAGGGCCACTTTACTGCTGAGCTGTATCCCCAGTCCTTTTTTTCTTTATTGTGAGACAGATCTTGCTAAATTGTTGAGACTGGCTTTGGACTGGTGATCATGCCTTAGCCTCCCAGGTAGCTGGGATTACAGGCTTGAAGCACCATGCTGGGTCAAGTATTTTTTAAAGGTGACTTAGGAATAAATTCTAGGCATTCAGTTTACTAATATTTACTCAGCTTTCTCTTTTACTACAAAAAGTAAGAGACACCCAGATAAGCAGTATATAAATTAGTATTCTTAAATTTTCATTCATGATGAGTTTCTAGGAATAATTTATTAAGACTTAACTCTTAAAATAGTTATAATTTTAGGTAAATATCTTGCAGTCACATTCTGGAATAGTATCTTCATATTTTTTGATGCATTCTATCAATAAATTGACCATTACCGAATTATTCTACTAGTCAAGATTGTTCCTGTGTGACGTTGAGTGCTTATCATAATAAATAAAAAGAAAAGAAAATAGAGAAAGCATAGCTTGACATGGTCCTCACTTATCCCACAGTTAACCAACTGCATCTGTCACACCTAGCCTAAGGCCCCCAGCTCACTTTCAGGTATTCTGATTGAGCCAGGACTAAAAGCCCTCTTTTCAGTCAGTATGTGCCTTAGACATTAGCCTTCCAAGGCTGATTCTGTCTGAAAATAAAATTATACATTGCTGCTCTGGGGCAAATGCTTTAATTTATTCTAAACCAAGTGACAAAGAACTTAAGCTTGGATGATTTATTTATTGTTATCTTTCTAGCAACCTTTGAAATAGGAAAATCATGAGAGTAAGTCCAGAATTAACTATTACTGTGGGAAAGGCAGACTGTTTTTACCTTTCATCCTATACTTTTACTTGGAGTACTTCTGAGAATATGTAGCCTTCTTGCATTTATGGAGTTTCATAATATATAACCTGGTTTTTTTTTTCTTCTTCTTTGCCGTAGGGCAAAAAATAATTATAGTAATTGTAATAGAGAAATAAAAAGAAAAAATGTAGATAATCTATAATGTAGTATATCACAGATAAAACCTTTAAAAAGCAGTCTCAATTACTTGAAATGCATCAGATGGTTGTTATCCGAGATAAATGTTAAATACTTTGCATCTGGGCCATAAGCCAAATGCAGCATAGAACCTATTTATACAAGAAAGCAGAGCAAAACTAAACAAGAGAAGAGAAATAATTTAAAAGGTTTCATGCTGCTTTAAGTTTTCTTGTTAATGTATAAAGAGCTTTTATATAAGAGAATTAGAGTAGAATGTGCTAAAGAATGTTGATAGTGTGTGAATGCCATATAAGCAATGATGTTTTATGATAGGTAGAATTTGTATAATAACCCTTGTAATCTATGTCATCCTCTGATCTCTAGAGACATTTTACAGAACCATAGATAATGAAAAGTCAACATTTGGCCATTTTTTAAAACAAATAGTATCTTTTGGAGGTATTGGTGAAGTGCAGCACATTAGTCATATGTAGAGACTATGTGTTGAAATAGTTCCTGTATGCATGATTGTTAGAGCAATTCATTAAACATATTTTTCATTTTCAGAGTATGTGATATAGCAGGCTGATGAATAAAAGAATATTAATTGCACATAAAGAATGTGATATAACCTAGCTTCAGAGATTATGTTAATAGAACTGAAAATATAAAAGATTCTTTTTTTCTCTAGTGGTCTCATTTTTGATAGTTATGCAAAGGAATTATTGCTCATGGTAGAAATGTATATTAGGTTATCGGATGTTTTGCTAATAAATTGTTGCTTATTAAAATTCTTTCTAATTGTAAGAGTAACATATGCTCACTCTAAAAATATTGGAAAATGTATAAAAGTATTCTAAAAACCAGCATAAATCCAAATACCCAGTAATATGCACTACAATTTTTGCAGATACCCTTCTGTGCCTGCTCTAATATAAACATTTCCCATCATACAGTTTTTATGAATATTTAATTTTAAAATTCTCTAAGATTATTTCATTATTTATTTCTATTCTTCATTTCAAATTTTACTCTACTTTAGTGAAAAGTTAGTGAGATGATCTTTATATGTAATTTTTTTGTCCCCACTTCTGTTCTTTCCTGGGGATAGATTCCTAGAATTGGAAGGACTGTATCAAAGTAATTGAGACAGGGCCAGGACCAGGTGAGGTGAGGGTGGCCTTGGAGATTGATAAAAATTTGCCTGAAGAGAGTGGTAAAAGATTAAGTCATCAAAATAAATACTCTGTTAATGCAGCATTCTTAAATATAAAAATCAATGCAAAAATCTATAATGATCCAGATATAAAACCTGGAATCTGTAAGACAAGTTTATAGGTTAGAATTGCATTTTTAAAAGATCTTTCTGGGTATATATTTTTTAATCTTTTGTTGGTCTTGGAACTGATATAAATGCAAATGCATTCTTAAACCCTTAGTACAGGAAAGGTGTTTTTATGTTTGTTTTAATTTAATAGTACATATTTATGAAGATAAGGAAACATTTTATTTATTAGTGGCATAGAACAGGGGTTAGGACACTTTCTCTTTAGGGCCAGATATTTTGGCCCCATACTTTCTGCAGTACTGCCAATTCTCAGCTCTGTCATTGTAGATTGAAAGCAGCCATAACCAGACTGTAAATGAATAAGTGTTATATTCCAATAAAATGTTATTTATGGAAATAATTACATGAAATTTAAATTTCCTCTATAATTTCATGTCAAAAAATATTCTTTTACCAAAGCAAAAATATAAAATCATACAAAAACAATTGACAAGCTACAGTTTGCTACCCCAGTGTAGAATATTAAGTTTTCTGTATAATTTTTATTTTTACTGAATTTAACTATACTTTCTCAATTAATAGTGTGACTTAACAATTTTTCAATTTTATAATGGTGCAAAAGCCATATGTATTCAGTAAAATACATACTTCCAATTTGAATTTTGGTCTTTTCCCAGGTTTGCAATATGTGGTACCATAACCTTTAGGTACTTTCCAGCTGCAGTTCTTAGATAGCCACATAATCACAATAGTAAACAACTAACACTTTACAGTGTCCTTTGTTGCTAAGTTTTGATATTTGGTAGGTGAGTTGTATTAAATGAATTTTTGATTGTTAATATTTTCACTTTGGCTGAGTTTGTCAGGATAAACCCATTGCAGATTGAGGAACATACATATATATATAAAACAAGTTTCTTAAATTATCATAGCACACTTATTTTTTTATGGAAGTAATAAGGATGATTTTTTTAACCTAAAGTTGAAAAATCTGCTTTAAAAATGTCTTCTGACAACACATCAATGTTTATAACAACACACTTCACAATAGCTAAGCTATGGAACCAATCTTGATGCCCAACAACAGGTGAGTGGATAAAGAAATTATAGTATTTACACAATAGAATATTACTCATCCATAAAGAAGAATAATTTCATGACATTTACCCATAAATGGATGGATTTGGAGACTATCATGCTAAGTGAAATAAGCCAGTCCCCAAAAACCCAAGGTCAGATATTCTCTGATATGTGGATGCTAACCCATAAAAAGGTGGGTGAGGAGGGGAAGAATAGAAGTTCAGTGGATTAAACAAAGGGAAATGAAAGAAAGGGAGCAAGGATAGGAATAGGAAAGACAGTGGAATGAAGCTGACATTACTTTCCTAGGTACATATAGGAATATACCACAGTGAATCTCAACATTGTGTACATCCACAAAACTGGGATCCTAATTAGAATAAGATACATTCCATATTTGTATACATATATCAAAATAGATTCTACTGCCATGTATAACTAAAAAGAACAGATAATAATAATAAAAAAAACACTTGCTAGTAGGTATTATGCACGATTTCAGGAAGTTGAAATAGCTCTAAGATACAGATACTAATTTCACCATGATGTAGCCTGGCTTTGCTTGACACTATCAAACAAACTGGTTGAGAATCTGGCAATAATACTGTAAAACAAAATAGATAATAAGCTGTTGTCCTGGGTCAGATGATCTTTCAAACCCACTCAAGTCTAGAACTGACACATGCAGAACCACCTCCCAAATTATCTCCAACCTATAACTACTCGAATGTTTGTTCTGAGGGGAGTTGTTTGCAAAATTGAACAATAAACAAAACCCACTGGCAAAAATAAATACATTTTCAAAAATACTTTGGAATAATTATCTTTCAAATATTTTCATATTTTTTTCTTACATGTTTAATTCTAAGAACTTAAAATATACTTAGGAGAATATTCTTAATGAGAGGCTTCAGAAAGTATTGGTCTGTTGAATTTTTTCTTGTCCACAGGTGGAGATATACTACGCCTTGACACACTTTTAGAATGGTGGAGAGAAAAGAATGGTTCCTTCTGTTCCCGGCTTATTATCATATTAGACTGTGAGAATTCAACCCCTTGGGTGAAAGAAGTGAGAAAGATTAATGACCAGTATATTGCTGTTCAAGGAGCAGAGATGGCAAAGACAGTAGATATTGAAGAAGCTGACCCACCACAGCTTGGTGATTTTACAAAGGACTGGGTAGAATATAACTGCAACTCCAACAATAACATCTGCTGGACTGAAAAGGGACGCACAGTGAAAGCAGTGTATGGTGTGTCGAAGCGGTGGAGTGACTACACTTTGCACTTGCCAACAGGAAGCGATGTGGCCAAGCACTGGATGCTACATTTTCCTCGTATTACATATCCATTAGTGCATTTGGCAAATTGGTTATGTGGTCTGAACCTTTTTTGGATCTGCAAAACTTGTTTCAGATGCTTGAAAAGATTAAAAATGAGTTGGTTTCTTCCTACTGTGCTGGACACAGGACAAGGCTTTAAACTTGTCAAATCTTAATTTGGACTCAAAAATGGGATTATTGAGAGTTCATATTACCAACTATCACTAACTTGCCATTTTTGTATACTGTATTTTTATTTGTGGAAAATATTTTGCTACTTCTGTAGCTGCTCTCACTTTGTCTTTTCTCAAGTAATTATGGGATATGTAAGGTGTCAGGAATAAGCATTATTTTATACTAAAAGTATGTAGGGAGTCATAAATGCTGACTCTGGAAAATATGTTAAAAATAACATTGCACTTTCAGGAATGTTTGCATTTGCCTCTGACTAGAAAGAAAACAGTTGTCTGTGCTCTGCAATGGTCATTGAAGAATTACTAATGCCTTATTTTCTAGGCAAACATTAGCGAATGTACACCAAACAAATTTGTTTACTACTTTAAGAAAACTACCAATTGACTAACAGAAGATTGTTTTTTGTAAACAGTATATTTGAATCTGTGAACATTTGAAGAACTATAAATTCTTAGAAAAAGAGGCCTGCCCAAAATAAATGTAAAATTTGCTTATATTTGATCACATTCAGATGTCTTGGTTGTGATCTATTACCAATAAAGTGGAGAGACTCGAATTGCTTTTTAGATCAAAATAGACTTTAGGTAGGTAACCATAAGAGATGAGAGCCTTCATGCATTGGTGAGGGTATCTGAAAACGTTGATATTTTAAAAGTCTTTCTCAGGGTAACTTAATGTTTTCTAAATGAACAGTGTTTCAAGCTACAAATTTCTTCTAAATAAAGTATCTTTCTTTTCAAAAAGTACTCATATGAAAGAAATTTTAGCAATTTATCATTAACTGATTAAGTAAATTTTAAGTATTCAGAAAAGATTTTGATCTCTATGGAGTTAATGCTGTGCCATGATAATTTTTTAAGTCCTCATTTGTGATAACATTTCCCACCTCCCTCAACTGAAGGTCAAAGATAGGAAAAAGGTCATTTTTTTCTTGTATCCATGTATTGTATTATGTAAAAAAGTATTTATCTTGGCAATTTTAGTTACATATAATGGTGTCGTCGTAATTTTTAAAACATAATTCACTGTTTTGTCTGAATAAAGCAGACGCTGATCACAGTGTCTACTAGTTATTCACTTCTTATTCCCTTCCAATTATCCTTACATTCTAAATTTTCACATTTGAGAAGTAACAGGAGGGGAATAAAATTAAATGGGGAGATAATCTAATCTTTGTTCTTTAAATGGTGTGATTCAAACCTTTGAAGGCATTTTTCCAGCCTTGCAGAAGAAATAATGCCTCTACCATTTTCTATTGGTGACTTGAAAATTGAAGTTTTAGTTAGGAAGAAGTCAATTAGCATCAGGGAATTTGTATACCACTATCTATGCAGCATTGTTATAGTCTGATAATTTCTATGTTTTGAATTTGATTTTCCTAATGCTTTAAATAAAATTTTGTTAAAAATAATTTTTCATTTAATGTGCAATTAACAGTTAGTGAATATTTCATTATATTAAAAGTGGAAGTTATAAAAGATACCCATGTTTTAGAGTTCATGTTTATGGCAGGTTGATTGGAATATTTCCATAATTTGGTTAATTATTTATATTAACATCATTGAAATGAAATAGTATAGTGTTTCATTATTGTTCTATTCAGATATAATGTAGAAAAATCCATTTTAAAATTATTAGCTTACAGTATCAAAAAGCAGTTAAGTAAAATCTCCTTTTAAATTTCTTAGCCAACTGAGCAAATTACTTTAAACCATATCTCTTTGCCCTGAGAAAACCAAATACAAAAGTATATTCTGCATTTTTTATAAAGTATTAATAAGACTTAAAAATACATTCAAAAGATTTTACAGCCATCAAGCTGACTTTATATATTTTCTGTGAACAACTGAAAAACGTCTTCAGGACTTTGTGACAAAGTCCAACTTATTTACTTTTTAGTTCCTTAAAAGTAAGGGAACTTACTTTAATGAATTTTCCTGCCTAAACAAACAAAAACTATAAATGACTCTTTGGAATGGTATCTTAAATTGAAGCTGCCAACTTTAAAACATTATTTAGTTTAACAGTGTAAAAAATAAATAGCATAAAAAGAATAAATTGGTTAACTTGATCTGAAAATTAAAAATAGTTCAATAATTAATAAGACTAATTTGCCAATTTTATATGTCATAAAGAAGTTATTTGGAGTAAAAGGAATTATTTTAGGGAAAACCTTTACCTTTCTGCTAAAAAGAGACATAATTTGTTTCCTTATATAATCCCTTGCTAAAATCACAGAAGTACTATTTTCTGAAGAGATCTTTTTAAAGTATACACCATTATATGATACATTAAGAGCCACATTCTTTTTCTCCCTATGATTTTTTCAATGCTGTTATTAATTCATTGAAATGTTTTAGTTTTCTTTGGTTTAAACCTTTCCTTTTTAGGAAAATTAGATTTATCTTTCCATAGAATTCTACCTTGCTGTACTTAATAAATTCCAAATTCTGTGGAAAAGAACTGTTTTAGAAGACTTAAATAATCAGCGTTTTCATAAATTCTATGCTTTAAAAACTTACATTCTAATTCAAATACTTTTATATTTAATGCATTAGTAGACAAATTTATCAGTCAAATCTTCATTAGAATATAACTATATTGTACTTATAATTTTGGCTTACATATATTTGTTGTTTTGGGTACTGCTTTTTTAATATGTATTCTTTTAAAGTTAGAGGTTAGTCTTGAAGAAAATATTACCTTTCCAGATATTATATGGTAGTTAATATTGTGTGTACCAGAAGAATATGGTTTAAAGAATGTGATTATAGATATACTTGAGAGAAAATGTTCAAAGGAGTTAGATGTGTCAGTACTTTTGATGTCTCTATTGGACTATTAGACTGTCATCTTTTTTAATTAGGGGCCTACATATCTTGGTATTTTTGTACACAATTATCCAGAAGAGTGCCTTGCCCATAGTAGGCATTTAATAAAAACTTTTTTAGTAAATGAATTTAAAATTCTAAGGAGAAATTGGAATAACTTGAATTAAATGGATATTATTTGAAGATCCTCATTGAGCAAGGGAAAGAAACCTCTCATTTGATGTTTAAAGGGTAGCAAATGTCAACATTAGGGAAGAGAAACCTATCTCACACCTATTTGATGAAAACACAGCTGATGTATCATAAAATTGCTTTTTCTGGGTTGAATCCATTTTTATCATGACTCAATAAGATTGAGTTTTTCATTCATTTCCCCATTATTACGTTTAGAGTGGAGATTTATCACAAATGGAACTCATTAAAATTCTGACAGATGAACACAGAAATTGGCTGTGCCTATGACAACTAAGTTATCAAGTCAGAAAACTCTTTGTGTTAATTAACCAATAGATTAAGAAAAAGCTAGGGAAACTACAAGTGTCTCATTATAAAAATACTTTCCACCTTCACTAATTGTAATATATCGAAATAAAATGTGAAATAATGAAATCTAAGTAAAAACTGCATTGAGCGACATTTTGTTGATAATCTACATTTATGTTTATTAGGAACTATTATTTGACCAAAGTGGATTCAAAATTGAAAATTATGGGTTAAATAGAAAGGATTTTTGTTTTTTAAATACCTATTTATAAAAGTAATTTGATTGAAAAAAATCTAATTGACCATTTTGTGTGGTGACCTCACAATATTTTTTAGTCTAAATTTAGAATGAATAACTAGAAGAGGTAGATAATTTTAGTAAACTTTTGTCACCGTTGTTTGGTGCAGATCTAAGAAACTGATTATCCAAATTAAAGATTTTTTGCAGCGTGCCAGGAATAAGTGAGGAACATGGTAAACCTTCTTAGACCAGCAATGTTTACTCCATATATGTAAAGTAAAAGTATTTTTATATTAAAACATATACCAATGTACTGATGAGTAAAATTTGCATTAACTTAATATCAAACATAATACTTAAGAACAATTTTAATCTTGCAGTGGGCCTTTTTTTTACCCTCCTTATCCCAAAACACTGAAGAATCTACATACAATGTTAGATGTTAATGACACTCCACACAGGACATAAAAAAATTCTTTTATGACTTGAAAAGATCACAATGAATTTTCACTGAAACATTTTGTTGCATATGTTTATATATGTATATAGACACACGTACATATATACATATATGTCTATATATAAATATGAAATTTCAGTTGGATACCTTTTTAGTTCCGTTTTATAATATTTCTAGGTTCTTCAGAGTCCTTACAATGCTGTCTTGAGCTGCACACCTAAGTATTGGTAAGGATTTTTAAAGCATGTATTTTAATTTATAATCACATCCATGTGCATTGACACGTATTCTATCTAATTTGAAGAGATATTCCTCTTTCTTGCCAACCTGTACCTTTGGATTCTTTTCTTTCCATATAAAATAGCTAACCATAATAATAAAAATGACCATGACTATTGTCTACTGAGTATATACTATGTTCTAGGCCCTGTGCTAAGCACTTTTTATATAATTTCATTAAATCTTCCCAACCATCTTTTATGGTAGATATAGTTTTGTTTTACAAATGAGGTAATGAACTTAGATATTTTTCCAAAATGACACAGCTTTAAGAAATTGGGTCTCAAACCAATTTGAGACCAAAATGGGTCTGAGACTCAGGCTTATCTCCAAATGTTTTATACACTATTGTTTAATACTATCAAATTATGTATTTTTTAAATTTTTTATTAGTTGCTCAAAACATTACAATGATCTTGACATATCATACATTTGATTCAAATGGGGTACATAATCTTATTTTTCCATGTGTACAGATTGCAGGATCACATTGGTTATACAGCCACGTTTATACATAGGGCCATACTAGTGTCCATTGTATTGTGCTGCCCTTCCTATCCCCCCTCCCCTCCCCTCCCCTCCCATCACCTCTTTCTACCCAATCTACTGTGACACGTTTCTCTCTTTCATCTTCCCCCTCACACCATCTTATATGTAATTTTGCTTAACCATAAGGGTCTCCTACCATCTTCCGTGCAATTCCCCTTCTCTCTCCCATTCCCACGCACCTCTCATCCCTATTTAATGGTAATCTTCTTCTCATGCTCTTCCTCCCTGCTCTGTTTTGAGTCTCCCTCCTTATATCAAAGAAGACATTCTGCATTTGTTTTTTAGGGATTGGCTAGCTTCACTTAGCATAATTGGCTCTAATGCCATCCATTTCCCTGCAAATGCCATGATTTTGTTGTTTGTTAGTGCTGAGTAATATTCCATTGTGTATAAATGCCACATTTTTTTATCCATTCGTCTATTGAAGGGCATCTCGGTTGGTTCCACAGTCTAGCTATTGTGAATTGTGCTGCTATGAACATTGATGTAGCTGTGTCCCTGTTGTATGCTCTTTTTAGGTCTTTTGGGTATAGTCTGAGAAGGGGAATAGCTGGGTCAAATGGTGGTTCCATTCCCAGCTTTCCAAGGAATCTCCATACTGCTTTCCAAATTGGCTGAACCAATTTTCAGTCCCACCAGCAATGTACAAGTGTACCCTTTTCCCCACATCCTCGCCAGCACTTGTTATTGACTTCATAATGACTGCCATTCTTACTGGAGTGAGATGGTATCTTAGAGTGGTTTTAAGTATTTTTAATGTCTCCACTGGCACTCTCCCCTCAGAATATGTTATGCATATCCTCAAGTGTAGTGAAATCCTTCCTCAAAGTTACACAGATCTTTGTATAGTTTTTGCTCATACCAATTACTTGAGTATCCTACACTTAGTTTTTAATTTTCCAACTTCCACTATATCTTATATACATGACAATAGGAGTTCCATCTACAACACTCCACTGATAGTGTACTTATTGACTTTACAATAATTTTCATGTTGTCAGATAGTTTTATCTTAATTGATATCTAGAGCATTTAACTTCTTCCTTTCTCTATTTTCTCTCATTAGATTCTGTATTACAGTGTGTGCGTGGTGCTGAGTATCCAATCCAGGGCCTTGCAAAAGCTAGGCCAGTATCCTATCACTGAGCTACATCCCGGCCCTCTGATATTATTCTTGATTTTCTGCTCTTTCTCTGCACATGCTTTGATATGTTAGTATGTCTTGCCAGACCTTCTGTCCCTACTTACTGTATTAACTGCACTCCCAACTCCTCCTCTGCCCATCCATCACCCACTTCCAGTATCTTTACCACATTTGGCAATTCAGCTACATTACACGGATTACTCTCAGATGTTTATCTCAGCCTGGATATTTCTATGGCACTCCAGGCCCATGTACTCAGTTAGGTACTGAACATTTCATTTCATAGGTGCCTCGATCTCCCCGAGTCCAAATCAGAGCCCTAATTTACTCTCTGAATTGCTTTATTCCCATTCATGTACCCTTGTTGGAATAACTTTCGGTTTGCAGCTAGCAGCTATGAGCAGAACAGAGTGCTAGGAAAACC